TCCTATTTATTTAAAAGCACTTCTATTGCAAAAAGTCTAAAAGAATGTATTTTTTGTTTGACTTTTTCGTCCAATGGGGCTTTACATCTAAATAAGCCTTTTGACTGAGCAAATAAAAATCCAGATTTCGTTATCACTGCCTTATTTTTCCCAGTGAAAATATAATGTAAATAGAAAAAAAAAAAAGAAAGAAATTAATGTGCTGAAATAAGTATATCTGGGTAACAGGGAAGTCAGATACAGGTAGAGAATGGATGGAGAAACAAAGGATGGGTTTTAATCACCACATAATTTTACCATGTTGGAAACTGCGGAGTATGTACTGCACCAGGCACTGCTGATGTGTGTTCCCTTAGTTTTTAAACCCACTTCTTCTTCCTAAACAAATCTGCAGCTGAAAACAAGACTTATAATTTGTGATCTTAACACATTTGAAACGTTTTATTTGGAAAGGCATAAAATAACATGAGCCCAGCTCAGAGGATTTTGGCTCCCTTTAGATGAAGCCTTTACATACATTTGGATTTCAGACAAATCAAGATTTTTATACTGCAGCTATGGAATGAGTTTTGTTTAATTCTAAGCATTTTAAAATCCAGTTGATTCTGCTGTAGTGTTAGCTCATAGCTTGCAGGAAGCAGCATTAGGCAGTTCAAGTGTCACCAGCCAATTACTGAGATGGTAATACTAGGAAAAATAATACATTACTAGACACTGTATGAATAATTCATTGCAAGACACATAGTTGGGGCAGTGTGTAGCCTGAGCACCCTAAGATGCAAGTCCAGCTCATGTAAACTTACTAGCTCATAATTAAGGCTGGCTTGAATAGTTAAGTACCGGGAATGTAAGCTCTCCCAGCAACTTAAGTAGTTAGTGGTAGATGTTTACACAGCCTCTGCTGCACTTTCTCCTGCTGCTGGTTGGTTTAAATACCCTTTGAGTACATCTGTAAGGCTTTAAGCACACCTCTGATCAAAACATAGAAGCAGAGCAAGCCCTTAATGGCATGGCCTTACCCACTTTGAAAGCAACTAAAAAAACTTGCTCTATCATATTTTGAATAAAACCAAGGATTATGTTATATTTTAAAAAAGATTATTTATAGGGGGGTAGGTTTGTTTAAGCATTTTCAGGGCCACATTTCCTACCTGCCAGCTTTAGAAGAGCATTCTCTGAAGAGTGACTGAAATCTTTCTGTGCGCCCATGCAATGGTTATAAACACTGAGCTGCCAAACTGGGTCAGCACACAGGTTGTCAGATCCAATCTTGTGCTTCCAGCCATAGGCAGTATTTCAAAAAGAGATGTAAAGACAGATAATACAATTGGTCAGTTGCCCACTGGTACACTCCAGAATAAAAAATTGCTCCTGAAGGCTTTATAATCACAAATACATCCTATGTGATGCACATGACCCAGCTGAGCTACTAGTTTACAAATTTTACAAAATGCTTCCTCATCTGCAATGTGGAGATTAGATGAGCATCTACAGATGAAAAGGGAATTTAAACTTTTCAACACACAACCTTTTTTTTTCCCAGCAGGCTCCCACTAGAATAAATGGAACGGAATTAATTAAATTATTTTTGCAAAAATTGCAGCGTGTGAGGTTTTTTAGTACAGCACATTGGTCCAAGTAGTAAGTAAACTCCAACCTTCATGTTCTTGTCCTACTAAGTAACTCTTGGCCCCTTAAGTCTCTCCTAAACTTCACCTCTTTGTGGTAGGCTCTGTCACTAGTCTTTCATCTTCTTTCACCTGAAGTCTGTAAACTCTGCATCTATTTTGGACTGTGCACTGTATAGGGATTATCTGTGGTTTGGCTTGTCAAACACTGAAGGCACTTTCACCATTTCAATAAATGCTGCACATCGTTTGGAATGACAGCAAGTGAGTTTTTGTGCATTTTATTGTTTCCAAGTTTGTCAGATTTCAAATACGAATGTCACTGGTTTGCTCCCATTGTTATGCTTTTATTTACAACTCACACTTAAAAAGACTTTGGAATAGCTTGAGGAGCTATTACCAGTTTAAGCACGTTGCAAATGCTGTTCATAGTCAAAACACAAACTTTTAATTTTACATTTAACAGCATTGTGTGTCTATCTGTTTCATCCTTCCAGAGGGAGCATTTACTACTTCAGCATGAAAGCACTGTTCTCTGGGTTCGCATTAGGTTGGGGTTTATGTAAAACAATTGAGCAAAACAGTACAAATAAAGCTTTGTCATTCCCAAACATGAGGTCAAAAAAGCAGCTTTTCTCAGGCCTGCTAATACTGGATCAAAGAACAGAGCCAGTGGCAGTGGCTAAGCAACTTTCCTTTGCTTCTCCAGCTTCTTGGAGAGTAAGAGCTACTGAGTTCACTCTCCCTGTTGATCTTTGCTCCTTGGAAAGCTCTATAGATGACTGTGGAAGTTTTAAAATTACTATAATCTGCTGTGGAAGAGGGTGACATAGTTAATGGGATGTGCCCACTGCCTCTTCCAGGGCCTAGCCAGTAATTCAGAAACATACTCAAAGTATTAGGATAGGTTTTTCAGAAAATATTTCTTTGCCTAATTAAAAAAATTATCTGCAGAGCCCAAGAATGCTTGTCAGTGCAGAAGGGAAACAGAACACAGTTCTGTGCTGAAAAACACTAACGAGATGCTGAGCATTCCTCTCAGTAATTAATGTGCCTGTTTAACACTGTTGTTTGGGCTGGTTTGAGGCCAGTCTGTTGGTGTCAGGGGCAAGTGGAATTCTACATCTTGCCCATGAGCAAAAGTCTGGAAGCTAAATTATATCCAGACCTTTACCTTTCCAGTCTTACCATTACTAGTGGGACCCTTCTCAGAAATTAAGTTGACCTTTGTGCTTCTGCGTACGTTTGCTGACATAGTCTGGCTGGGACGGGTGACTGTCTTCAGAGCAGCCCATGTTTTGGGTTTGTGACTGGAACACAGCAGTGTCCTGCTGATTGCTGAGCAGTGTGTGCACAGCATCAAGACCTTCTTTTTTTTTCTGCTCTGTCCCTCCAGTGGGCAAAAATCTTAGAGCGGGCACAACTTGCACTCCTGACACCGACTGGCCAGCAGGGATCTCCCATGCTCTATAATGTCTGCTCAGCAATAAAAGCTGAGGAGAGGGTTGGGGTTTTTTTTGGGGGTGGGGACCACTGCTACTGGCCTGCTTGTGGGAGGTCATGAGTGATTACCGTTGCATCACATACCTTGGCTTTTTTCTTCCTCTGTACACCGCATGTTAAAATGTCTTTATCTTGACCCATCAGTTTCTCATTTTGCTCTTTGAAGAGTGAGCAAAGGGCTATCCAGGGTCAGCCCCCCCAGTCAACTATTCCATTGCACTGGAAGATCATTCCAAGATTAGCATTTATTCTGTTTATTAATCCTTTTTGACAACAGGTCATGTTGGTACTTTAAATATTACATGTCTCAGCTAAGTACAGTTACATAAATTAACTTCAAATCAGAACATATATACAGTATTAACTCTTGAAAGATCTTAATGTTCAGGTATTTCACAAAGCTAGCAGCCAGCTCAAACCTCCTCATCTATTGCACAGAAGTAGTCAAAGTTCAGTGGCTTTAAGTCACACTTTTCCTACCAAATGTTACAAATTAAAGCCCTGAAGGGCTGCAAATGGCATGTGAGTGCCTACTAGTAAGAATAATGAGACATTAGGAAGATCATCTGACAGAAGAGAGAGATGTAAACTCTTCCAGGTAGAAAATGCTGTTCTTCAGAAGGGTGCAAACTCTCTGAAGTACTGTAGGAATATTACAGTGCAACATATCACTAAGGCAACAGGTGCTGGATCAGTGGAAAACAGGCTATTATGCTCAGGGAAGCTTGCAGGTGCAACAGACCATCACCACCTCAGCTGTACCTAAATGCATCAGCCAAGGACACTTGGCCAGTTAGGCACCAGGGGACATGCTCTGTGAACAAAGAAAATCCCCTCCATCTTTTCTGGAGTTTTAGCTTTCCAGTCTGCCTTATTATGGTATTGAAAAACAAAGTGCTAGCATTCCTGATCAAAGCCACACAGCAAAGGCAATTG